ATTTTTTTCTATTTAATAATATTTATTTCAAACTTGCAAGTTGAGTTAAAAGTTATGGTAATAAATTCATTTTTTTTTTATTAAAACTTTCACTTTAAAGAACAAAAAGAAGTAGGTTCAAAATGATTACTTTTAACATATTAAAAATCAATAATAATTTGAAAATAATTAATTATAAAAATTATATAATATATAATTAAAATAATTACTAATCTGGATATAATTAAGGAAATAGGAGTTGATGTTGGGTTGGGTTGGTTACATTTTTAACTTTATAATGCTATAACTCATTGAAAAGTGTACGAATCAACACAATTTTTTTATGAGAAATAATATTTTTTAATAATCCCTTTTTCATTCGACATACTTTATCTTAATCAGGGTATTAATAAGAAACTAGCAGATAATGTAGCTTTTGTAATTATCCACCAATTTCTTAGAATTAAACACTATCTACTGATTTGCATCGAAGCGTTTCTTATGATAGTGATTTTAATCACTGTCAGATTAAATCTATACTGGACCCAACTATGCAACATCCCCACTATGCCGCGACCCCACTGTGCTGGGTTTTTTATAATATGTATACATTGTATCTAGATTTTTTTAAACTACAATATAAAATTATAAAGTATATGCAAACCTCATTAATAATTACCCATTATTAATAAATGTGTGATATTCATATATTATGCTTAAGATTTTATTATTTATTTTAAGTTATTTTTTAATTTTCTATGATTATATATATTAACATTTTTTAGCTTCGATGCGAAGCTGAGAAGGTATTAATTTTACCATGATGTGTGTTATTTTTATTTTTGTGTCTGTCACTACTTTTTCTCAGCTCTCACTGGACCGATTTTTTTTCAAAAATGCGTCAAAAGATCACAAATCGTATCTAGTCAAAGACATTACCCTCAAAAATTGAAAATTTTGCTCTCGTTCCTCATAAATAGTGAAAATCACCCAAACAATTATTATTTTTAAAATCTGTAAATTTCGATATTTTTTAAACTTTTTTTTTCTAAAAATTGCCATAACTTATTGAAAAATGAACGAATCAAAATAATTCTTGTTTTCATTGAAACCATAGATATTTATTTATCATTGGATATAAATTTTTTGAAAATATGACCCTTATCTGCCCACAAAGGGGAATCAAAATAGCAACTTCTGCACAAAAATTAAATTTTTTCAACTTAAGTTTTGAAAGTTTTTGCCAATTTTATCAAAAAACGAATGCGACGAGCGCTTACCTATTTAGTAAAAATCATTGTTTGTGGCAATGATATTTTTGCATTTTTCCTTAATTATTTTTGAGTTAGAAATTTGCTTTTGAATAATACACCAATTTCTTAAAATTTAACACCATCTACAGATTTGCATCGAAGTGTTACGTATGATAGTGATTTTAATCACTGTCAGATATTATTTATACTAGTCCTAACCACGCGACGCTTAAACTGTGCTACCGTTTTTAACATGATGTTTTAACGTCATGTGTATATATATATATTAAATTTTATTGTTATATTAATCTTGATAACTAACTTATCTTTGAATTTTAATTTATTTTTATCGTCAAAAATAGATAAAAGGTACTAATTATTGTGATTAATGAAACACGTAAAAAGTACAGGTTATTTAATGAGTTTTTAAATAATTAAAAATAAACTACAAATTATAAATAACTGGCTATTGTTTTTCTAAAAGCTAAAATCTTAAAATATTGCACTGTATTTGCATACTATGAAAATATGACATCTTATTATACAGAGTGTCCCACCATGCTCTGACATCTTGAATCACTTTTGAACTAGCGAATATTTTGCAGTAAATTTTTTAAAAATAATTTTTAGTTTGGTCTACGTTAAAAGTATATATTTTTTTATTTTTCTCTAATAAAAATTTAAAATAGTTATTTTCTTATAAACAAATGATTTTATGGGTTAATAGCATCAGGCAACGACACATTCCAGGCAATAAACTAAAAAATTGGTTTTTAGTTACTGATGTCCGACTTCTTATTCTCTTATTTTTTATTTTTTCCCAAATCTTCATACTATTACTCATAAGCTTTGTGCCTCTATAATTTTCACATTCCTGTATTTCTTCTTTGCCTTAAAATACGGGTACCACAAAACTTTTCCCTCTACTCTTTTGGCATCTTCCCTTTCATTAAGACTTTATTTAAAAGATCTTTCGATTACCTTATGTTTTCCTAACATTTTCTACACTTCCACTAGTATTTTATCAAGTCTTACTGATTTTTTTTTCATCAATCTCACAGCATCTCATAGATCTTCTTCATTAATTTAATCTATTCTTCGTTCCGCGGAATATCTCCTAAAGCATCTCTTAGATACTTCTTATTCAGTCTCTTTTTATCATCATCATCCTTTGTTAACACCTTTTTATTGTAATTTTTTACACATCATACATTTTAAATCCTTAGATCGTTTTTTTTTAACCGTTGCTAATCTATATATTTATTTTCCACCTTCTTTTATTCCTAACTTATACCTCTTACACTTTACCTTACTTACTGCACCAATTGTTTCTTTACACAACCTTGTTTACTGTATCCAATCCTCTATCCTCCTGTTCTTTTACCATACTTTAAATTGCTTTTTTTTATTTGTTATAATGCTCTTACCTTTCTCATACCACTACCACGTTTCTATATTTTTTGACATTCTACTCTTACTGCACAATCTCTTTTGTGGTATTCTTTACATAAGCGGTAATCTTAGTCCGTTCGTCATTTATATTTCCGTCTACATTCCACACCATTCTTTCTTTCACTTTCTTTAAGAACTCTTTTTTTTCAGCTTTTAATTTCCACCATCTAATCTTTGACTCTCTTCCTATGTTCTTTTTATTTTTACTTACATTCTTTTCACTATTCCACAACTTCATTAACATCAATCTATGCTGTGTCACATCCTCACAAGGGGTGACTTCACAATATTTTAATAGCTTTACACTTTCTCTTACACGTAAAATAATCAATTTGTAATCTACTACTTCTAGTTAATATTTGAAACTTCCATGTGCTTATTTTTACTTAATACCTAATTGGCTCATTTAGACACAAACCTAAAGCTAGGTGGTTACTTTAAGTTTTTGAGTAGTTTTCATCATCTCGCATAATTTTACTAAAATATTTAATAAAGTAAAACCTCTAAGTTATCCTAACGAACTTGCTAAATATTTTAGCAGTGATACTTTTTATCTATTATAGAAAAATACGTTACTTCGTAGTAAAAATGCATTTATTGAGTTCTTATAATGGCTCATAATTTTAGTTTTTATAGAGTTTCCATTTCACATTCGTACTGGGTTATACTATGGATGTGTTCCAAAACTTTGAAATTCTTCCATAATAAACATTGCTTTTTCTCTCTATTATATACCATGAACGATGGCCATTTTTTGGCGCTAAATTCCTTTTGTCGTATTCGAGACTTTTAAATACTTTTAGGTAAAGTATATATCTGATCTTTGTTGATCTGAGCAGCCAAAAAAATTAAAAACACATGTTTAATAGTCTCTTTTCGTTGCCTTGAAATACTCTATAAAACTGGTGTTCTTTCTTTGAGCTGCCAAGTGTTTAAAAATTTTAGGATAGAATAATAATAATCCGTTAAGGAAGCAGTTTATTTATAGAATAGGTTTCCGAGATGGGATTGAATGCACTATCTTCCTCTCTTACACACTATTACACATTATTATAAGTTACTTATGCTAACTTCCGGGTGTACATATTTTTAATACCAAAATAATAATATAGTAAAGAAAAAATGAATAAACCTTTGCTTATTCATATTTATATTATTGATATACAAATTTACAATATAATAAAGACAATTTTTATCATTGTAAAAAAATATATCCAAATGATTGTAGTATTTTACACAATTATCATTAAATTTCTAATTTAATCAAATTATTTTATTATGGTTGTATAATTCATATTATTCATATCTAATGTTAAAGTCAAAGTTGATTTTTTTTATGTACTAGTTGTAAAATTAAAATTCAAAGTAAAAATTAATAAAATGTATTCGTAAATTTAAAGAATTTAATAATACCAACATTTTTACCTTGAATATTTTTTTCTAATTGTGGTAATTACTTACTATCTATATTAGTGCTATAATTTACACTTTACTATACGAACAAATACGAGCTGATAACAAGACAATGTAAAAATCATTATTTCTACACGAAAATTAATGGTGTGACTATATTTCTGGCGTGAACAGTTCTAATTGTTCGTGACCTTCTAAAACGTAAATTATTAGGACAATCGAATTATATGAAATATAAAAGACTTGTTATTAAATCGTCCTTTAAATTTTATTACAGAGAAGAGGTTCGTGATCATGCAGTACGATGGGGCGCCCAATTTGAATTTATTTGCAAAATGAGCGCTAATGCGTCTACCGGAATCTTAGATCCTTGCAATTTACGTATATCAGTCCGTAAAGTAAATATACATTCCTAATTTTTACAAACAGCGTTTTGATATATTGATGTGTGTTAAAAGTGTAATTTGATTGTGTTTGTCATTTCCGTAAGCTATTGAATAAAAAATTATCAAAAGCCCGAAATTTATTCCCTATATAAATATATATATTTATACTTAATTGTATAGCTGTCGTTTCATATTTTGTTGGAACTCTGTGGCATTAATTTCTCTCCAATGTCATACCCAATGATAGTAAATAAATGACGATTGGAAACGAGTTTATTAGATTATATATCCTTTAACAGCAATTGAATAAAATGTTATATTGTCACCTGAATAGAAAACATTGTTATGATCATACCAAACATAGAGTTTAAAACTTGGACAGATTATTTCTTTTTTAAATGATGCACGTTTCAATTTATTAGAAAATATAGCAATGAATTTTTTAACAGACCGTGGGCATTGCTTATGTGAACAATATAATGACAGCATACTTGGTTCGCTTGCAAACTTGTCCACGTTCCGAACGCTCTCTGTTAAAAATGTTAACATCAAGAGATTTCACCAGAAATCCCCTCTCTATTTTGTCTATTGACTGACATTCGTTATTATTAATTGATTGTCTTATTATTTCAAATAGGAATTGAAAGGTGGACGGAGTTTTCAAAAACTAGGTTTCACCGACGTTAATTTGGCTGAACTTGCAGGGGCCGGGTTAAGCTCAAGGCGATGTTTATTGGAAGGATACGATAATCGACATCACCGCCAAGACAACTCAATGCTTCGAATAACTGTTTCCATGAATATGTTATCTGGAGATATTTTATTTAAAGCGTAAAATATTTTTCTCTGCCATTATATTCTTGAATTGGTTGTATTTTCAACTTTTTATTTTATATTAAATATTTAGTCCAACATCTTCGGCAATAAATCAGAAGATACCTTTGACTAATGGTGATACTCCTCAAAGTGAAGATACTGAATTCCATTCGAATAGTGGATTTGGCAATATGCCTAAAAAACGGTTATTGTTTCCGGCAGGTAAGTTATTTTTCTAAACAATATTATTCTTGTGTCTTCGTATTAGTTTTAGAATCAAGCCATACATGATGCGAAACCTTACTAAAATGAACTCTTAAAAAAATGAAAACGTTTCTAGTTGATATTGTATTCGGTTTTGTAGATTTTCGATTAAGACAAATTATATTAATTATATAATTAAATTCGAAAAATACGCTTCTATTATTTTTTTCTATTATAATTATTATTTAAATTTTATATACATGTATGAAAAATATTGGATTTAACAAGCTCTTCATCCAAATGATATATGTGTTTTAATTTTGGGCTTTTATAAAAAAAGTATGGGTTCATCATTCTGCTTTTTAATTCGGAAAAAATATATGGCGTGTATTTTTCCTCGGGTTATGGTTATTTACTATTGAGGGATATATATGTATATATATATGTGCTAAGTCCTGAATTTGATCAAGCTAATAAAAGATTTGTTGTTTTTCTGTATGTAAAAAATTATTTATAATTGTATTTGTGGCGAGAGAGTCTAAAGGTAAATTTTCTCATACTCCATTTGAAACAATTAATTTTAACTTCATTACAATAAAATAAAGTAAATTGCAATTTTTTTAAGGAAAGAGTTCATTTTTCACGAGACTAATTAAAAGTATATTTATTACATTTTTAAAGAAAAAACGAAAAATTAATTTTTTTGGACAATTATAATAAACTAAATTTAACTTAAAATATACTTACGAAATGATATATTACATAAAAAATTTAATTAATATATATATTATTTTTATTTATTGAGAAATCACTGTACTTTATAATTCTCCAGAATATACTAGTCCAATCTTAAAAATTGGTTAGCATTAACCAATCTAACAGTTGAAAAAAAAATTACAAGATTTAATATTTAATTTATATTCAAATGATTTTTTCCCAAAATATTCTTTATATTAAATTTCATTATTGCTATTATATTTTTATTCACCCCTTAAAAATATTATCTATAGGATATCTATTTAGTTAATTTTTAGTTTTCATTTGTTAAATTAGAATATTAACATTTTGATCAATTTATTTGCTCATGAACTTATACAATAAATATGAACAGGCCTATATTTTGGTTTTAAATAATTTTTATAGATTGATATTTTTTTGTTTTTCAGACATTCCCTCCATGAGTAACTCAGAAAAACATAATCAATCCGAGTTAAATTTAAATCATTCGGAACATGAAGACAATATAGCAGCTCATGATACAGCTCCTACCACCAATCAATTAACTAATTCAAGTGGTCATTCTCGTAACTCATCAAATACGAGCAAAGGTTCCAGTTCTCATAATTCTCATTCTAGGCATAGTAGTTCTGGAGATAGTGGCCATGTTCGGTAATAATTTTTTCCTATATACATAAGAAAAGAAAAATTTTCCACGTTTGACAATCTATGTATTTATACTATTAATTTAAGCTTAATTAATCTCTTTATGATAGGGATAAAAATAAATTGAGTACATCAAAAGTTATTAGGTTATTTTGTGTATGATTATAGTTGAAAATATAAGTGTTTAATTCAGTAAATGTTCAAGTTAAATTTATATGTATTGTACTCTTTTTTAACTTTAATGATTGTGATCAGGTCACCTTCTTGGCCTGTATGGTCTCCTACTTTGATACCAACACCTGCAACCCCACCGCCATCACAGCCTCCTACACCTATATGGAACAGTCCTCGTTCAAGATTTTGGTCATTACGTCAATTAAAAACACATCATCGACAATCCCCTCAAGTGTGTACACATCAAGACGTTTTTCATACGCCAGACAACAAAGCTATTGGATTTAGGTTCCCACCATGGTCTGGTCCATCTCCACGTACTAATTCATCACCTGGTCTGTTGCCTTTAACCCCAGATTCCCTTAGGTAATAAATAAGTTGACCCTAAAATCATAATGCTTAGCAATAACATCTCTCATACTCGTCATTAACAAATATTGTATTGCACTTACGCTATTTATATTAATTAAAACATAAGTTTTGTTGTTTTAAGGAAAGATTGAGTATAGTATAAATATATAGTTGTAAGTATATGGTGTGGATTTAGTATTGTTAAGAAATATGTGATTTTATGAGGGAATGTTGTTCAGGGGCAGTATACATCATCGTAAATTGTTGGATAGCTCAATTGGGTATGGGCCACAAGGGACGCTCAATGTCAACTCACTTCAGAAACTCCCATTTACACCTGAATTGGATAAATTGCTCAGCACATCTGACACGTCTGTGTCTGCTCCATTCAGGCGGCCTAGCCAAATGTCAGTGATCTTGCATGAAATGCTAGTGGTATTTATGCATGAAATACCAGTGTTATTTATGCATGAAAACTTTATATTAAAATGTTTATTAAAAAAAATATATAAATTTTATTTGTCTAAATTAAAAAAAAAGCATGTACTTTTCTGATTCTATTATATTAAAATAATTTTAACTTAATTTTTATATTATTAATTGACATGTAATGGGTGTATTAAAATTTGTATAGGAATAGATTATAATAAATTGTAAATTGCAATTTACTTGTAAGTTACAATTTTTCTCTCTGGTATATATTTCAATCAATTTTGAATTTATAATTCTTTTTCCATTAAAAAAAAATCTTGACTAATTTTCAACATCGGAATTAGAAGATGCCTAGAAATGTATAAATGCTTATTAGTTGCTTTTAAATATATATACTGCTTTTTAGTTATTGTAATAAATGGCTTTAAAGCTTTACAGAATTTTTACATAAGAATTTTTTATATTTTAATTTAATTTGTTACAATTTGATGGTTTTGGTTTGTTCTCTTAAGTTCAATATTTCTTTTGTTGAATTATTTAATTTATTGCAAAACTAATATATTAATATATTTATTTATATAGTATGACATCTAGTGGTACTGCAATTTCTATGTCACAAGCTTCACCAATACTAAGTGGGGTTGAGGCGGGATCTTTAGATCGAGGTAAAGCTGCATTAGAACGAAGAAACAAAAAATCAGCAGCCACAAATAATATTTTAGATGATGGTAATACCAAAGCTACTGGGCGTGTTGAGGTTACCAGGGTAAATCCAGACAGTCTAATTGATCAATTGCTCAGAGCTACTAATCTAGAGGATCATTCCGCTGATGAAGATACTAAACATAGTATAAATATAATTTGATTGAATTTTATCTATAATTTTAATATATACATTTTATTTTTATTGCTTTTGTCAAGGGCCAGGCTTACAATTATTTATTGCCAAGGATGGTACAACTACTCTTGGTAGTCAAAATGTTAAATGTCATATGTCTAATAGTCTATTCAAACAAGTTGTGATGGAAGACAATAGATAACGCTATATTACTTATAATATACATAGTAAGTTTTAATATCTAAAACAAAGCTTTAAAATATACTATAAAAAAATTAATTTTACAAGAAATTCATAATAAATATAATAATTTTATCAGTTCTATTTTATTGTATGATGTAGGATAGTGAAATGAACAATTTTAAATTATTTATAGAAAAAAAATTAAATAATGTTTGAGACATTAAAGTAATGTTCTATATAAATTAGCATTAAGTAATCATGAGTTGTTTAAACATATAAGAATGTGGATTTCCTATATAAACTTAATATCTCAACAGTTATAATTGCTCAACAGCAGTGTTTTTATTTTTCTTTTTTTTCTTTTGTTTAAATAAAAAATTTTACATCTAAAATGAAAATATATGTAGATTAGTTATTAAAAACATGTTATTATAAATATCAATTAATAATAATTACAATTTTTTTTCTTTAAAGATTGTTGTAAGCATAGTGCATCTTTTTGGATGTATGGAATTTTCTAAAGATCTTTTCATACTAGTTCATATGTCAAGTCATTGTGCCTCAATGTTATTATCTGCCAAAAAACTAAAATGCCAGTTAGAATGACCACTAATTCTTTTCATACTTTAAAACATAATTTTGTGAGATATGTTCTTACATTTAGGATCCATTCAAAATATTTTAAAGGCCGTGTCAGTAAATATGTTTTTATATTTTTAGAACATGTATTTTAATTATTTGAATAAAATTAATTCAAAAGTAGCTTGTTATGTTTTCTAAAATATTTAATTTATATAAAATAACTGGTGAAATATTAAATTAAAATTAAAATTAAAAAAAATAGCTAAACATTTTTGTTAAAAATAATTTATTGGACTAGAAAAATGTTCCTTTTTAATTCTAGAGTTATTTATTATAACTCAAACTAATGAATTTTTTTAAATTTAAGTTTTCTTTGGTACGCATATTAATGAATTAAAAAAATATATATTTATTTTTGTATGAATTTAACAAATTATAAATACTTTATAACTTTTATTTTTTTTAAATATTTTACCACGGAAAATTATTAAAAAAAAAAACATTTTTACTGAAAATAAAGGCTTTTGTGTACTGTCAATTTTGCAATTGCAAATTATTATTACTTTTTTGTTATTTCCTTTTTATAATANCGCAATGAAACATTTTATTTTTTTTAAATATTTTACCACGGAAAATTATTAAAAAAAAAAACATTTTTACTGAAAATAAAGGCTTTTGTGTACTGTCAATTTTGCAATTGCAAATTATTATTACTTTTTTGTTATTTCCTTTTTATAATATGATCAATAGTTTATTATATTATTATAATAATTTATTGGAAATTAATCAATTTTTATTTTTACTGAGCATATCAATAATTTAGAAAAACTTTTTGCTCTTATAGAAATTATTAAAAATATTTCATTATTGTAAAACATAAAAAAAAATATCCTTAATATGCAGTATTATTTTCTGTTATTAGTATAAGTTTTGTATTTTTTTTTTGTATGTGTGTGCTTTTAAGTGTCATATTTGTGATCATTTTCATTTGTTTGTTAAGCTCAAATTCAACATAGGCTATATGACTTCAAAACGTTTAATTTGTATTAATTTTCATTAATATATTTTTAAATGTATATTGATATTTTTGTAATCAATAATTTTTAGTTAGGACATACATTTTGTATATTATTAAATTTATAAATATAGTATCAATACACTACTAGTCATTCACAGATTAAATACAATTACACCTAAGAGAACTGAGAATTGTTGGCTATGAAAATAAAAATGTATGATAATATTGTTTTTTTTAACATACAAAAGTAAAGTATTTTATTTTCGTATTTGAAATTATTCGGTTTTTTGAAAAGTTTTTAATTTGCTTGTTGTATTAAAAATGTTTATAATTAAAATATTCAATGTTAATTTATTATATTTCCTTGTCTATACCTAATAGAAATGGTGAAATGAACAACAGAACCAAAAGATTTTAGTTTAAGCAGCTACTGTGGTTAATAGTACATATTTAACAGATTTACCCACGTTAAACAATTATATAGAAAGATTTTATTAACTAAGAAACTTTAAGCTAACTTTTTAAAATGCAGTTATTTAATTGAGCTAGAATATTATATACTTTAATTGTAAAAAAATGATTTAAAACTTCTCATTTGTTTATTATATATTAAATAGGAATGAATGACTGACTGAGATCGACAGGGCATTTTTGTATTTACATCAAAATAAAATAAAATAGCTAAATCACAGAGCACATTATATTAGGGGTGTGGCTATATTTTTTATATCGAAATATACCGGTATTAAAAAACATTGAAATTATAAAATAATCGAATTTTTAATATATTGTTAATAACCGTAATTATTTATGATTTAATAAAAAATCATGATTTATTGGATGTTTATAATAATTAAAATTTGTTAAAAAATATAAGGTGATTATTACGTGATAGATTTTTAAATAATTACTCTTAGATGTCATTAAAGTAATAGCAAAATCGATAAAAATTTTAGATAGCCCATTCAAAATGCTCGGATAGTATAAAATTGGTGACCTAATTACTTTTTGTTTCCTCACACTAATGATTGTCTAGCTTCTAGCTTAGAGTGTACTTTATTCCACTTTTTCACGTTTGGATAATTTTGAAGTTACGTTTTAGTCATACCCATTAAATCTATTTCTTTAATAACCCAACCTCTATTTCTTTATCAAAATATTTTTTTTTACCAGATTAATAACTAATCTGTTAACCATAATATTACTATTGAAATTTTGTACTGCGAGATGTGATTTGTATTGTTCAGAATGCATTTGAACGTTTGTGTTTTTCTAATAAATTTAAAAAATTAATTTCTCTCTACTCTTTTTAATTAATAAATCCAAAAAATTCATTTTTCTCTTTACTTTCTGTTTGTAAGTGAATTTATTTGATTAGTAAAAAAATGTAAATGNAATAAAGTTGGTACCCTTATAAGGGATATCTAAAATATATTTTGTATGAAGACCTCCGGATTAAACTGTTCATTATTGTAAAAGTATTGTGTACTTGCTTAATCTAAATTTTTAGAAAACGGTCTTAAGCGTTTTTTAAATTTGATTCGAATTTCTTATGAAAAGATCTGATAAAAATGATGATAATGGATTCTGACAGAAAATAATGACAAATAAGTAAAACTAATAATTTTGATAAATGAATATTGTAAAGAGGATTAGAGCAAACAGTGACACAACATCTTTAAATATAATAATAAATTTGTCAAGAATAAACATTCATAAAATACATATGCTTACACAATGATCCATTTTTTAACACTCACATTTCCATATAATTGAAATACTTAAAAAAATTAATTTAAAATTATTTCCGTGTATTATCGAAAAAAGGAAAGATCAATTTTATTTTAAATACTCCCCTGGAAATTGTTCTCCTGGCTCATGGTAAACAGTCCTCTTATTAATTTATACTATATTTGAGTGTTAGTTACATGTTACTATATATATAATTTCTAAAAAAAAGGATTTTTAGATTTATCTGAATTTAACAATGAATTTTTACAATTAAAATCAAATATTATAATACGCTGAATTGGGTAGATTTTTTTAACATTTAGATTGGTTTTTTGTTGCTTAGGTAAATAATTAAAATTAATTATGTTCTAAATATTTCGATTGTAGAATATTTTTAAAAACTAAAAATTACTTAGAAATGATTTCTATGATTTCTATTTAAGTGATCTATTACAATAAAAATGCAAAAAAAATATTAATCAACAATTCGTATACTAAGATATTGAACTTGTTTTGATATCTTATTTCAAATTAGAGCAGAGTCGTTACATGTTAAAAAAAAATAGTCTTTTAAAACGTAAATTAAAAGTTTAAAATGTTTAAAATATCTCATAAGACCAATGTTAATTTTGAATTAATTTCTTAGCTACGCTTTAATGCTAATATGTACATTAAATTTATAAATATAATCTTTATTTTTTAACTGCGCGCATTTAAATGTTATAAATAGTGTTATTTTATAATTTATTATTATCCTAATATAAATATTAAAAGATATTGATTAATTTATTTCAATTAAAAAAATATATATATGTATATATACTCGTATGTACATTAATAAAATAAGACAGTTGATTTGAAAATATTGTATAATTAAGTTCTAGATAATTAATAATCAATGGATTTTAAAATGATAACGATATTTTTTCTAAAAATTTTTTTAATGGTTTTTCAACAAGCTACTGGTAACTACAGATCAGAATTGATTGAATTGCAAAAATCTCCTCCATGGAATTATCTCACAGACACAAAGGTATTTTACACAAATGGTAAAAGTAAAACTGTCAAAGAATTGTTTTACGATGTATTGTACGAAAATGCTTCTAATAATCAAATAAAATTTGACAATGCTATTAATGCATTTCACTGGTCTTTAAAAAGACGAACGTTCACATATATTTATTTCCTTGTAAAATATGGATACGAAGCTTATATACGCAATGAAACATTAGGAATAGTTAGAAGTATTTTAAAAACTTTTAATGTAATAATGAATTGTTTAGAAAAAGTTAATAATTTGCATCATGTGGCACTGAAAAAGTACATTTCAGAATTAGAAAATTGTAGCAACACAAAAGGTATTATAGAAAAACTTGGAGAAATATTAAAGAATTATGTGTGTCTGTTATATTCTATTAATCAACAACAGGAAAGTGATTTTTTAAACAATTTCCTCCCTAAACTGAAAAAAACAGAAAAAATTAATTTTTCTTTGAAAGTCCCAGAGAAAGATGTTGATGAAACAGAATTAAATAATTATTTTTACGAATTTCTAAGCACTGTTACTACAAACAATAATATTATGTATATAAATGATAAACAATTATTGATAGAAAAACTAATGGACAACTTGTTCGAAATTATTAGATTAGTAGAAACTGAATACAAGTTGCAAAAATGAAATTCAATAAAATCATTAATTTTGACAACATTAACGTTCTGTCAAAATTATGATAGAGAAACATTTGTAAAGTATATATTTTAATAATTACAATGTTTACAAATTTAATCTTACCTTTAATTGATTGTAATCAATTGTTAAAAAATTTAACTATAATTTTAGATAAATTCTGTTTTTTTATATTAATTGTGTTAATTTAATTTTAAATATTAATTAATTAATTTATTTTTACTTTATACCTAATTGGCTCATTTAGACACAAACCTAAAGTTAGGTGGCTATGACCCTACAGCGGTGCTCAGCGTCTGGAACCATATACTTAGTCTTTGGGTCCCAATGTCTCTAGATACTTTATTTCCTGTTACATATTGGCCACGCATATATCCGAGACAGGAAATCCACCTATGTTTTGTTTACGACTCCTCATACTTATTAATAAAATTTTACACTGGTTTTCGACCTGACTCAACCTAATTTGTCGTCTTTTACGATTGGCAAAGGTGCTGTGAAAGTCTTTCCGCGAGTAAAGAAAGAGTTAAAATATTAAAAATATTTTTTTTAAGTAGTCTAAAACTACACAGAGGGAAAAAGTTTCTCTTCCTGGTTACGCTATTGTATGATTGGTTTAGAAGAGAAATTTTTATTAGTTAAAATTGTATTTAAAAAAAGGTAAAAAATGTGTTTTAGTATGTTACCA